AGTCTTTGGACTGCTATGCTAGACTACTGGTAACAGGACTTGTTTTAGTGGATTGATGGAACAAGGTTAGAACAGATACAGGGGACAATACTCCCCTATTTGTTCATGATGTTACCAAGAAAGGGCTTGGAGCTGATCACCAATAGAGGATTTATGGTGGGGTGTGTTGGTGGGATGGATTACCAATTCAAACTATTAGCTAATGATCAGTGGACACTTTACCTCAAAAGCCCAATATCCTATCTCTACAGTACTAGAAGAACTACTTTCTGTCCCCTTTTCGCAAAAGATATCAATAAAGGTCTTATATATTTATTTTTTTAGTATAACTTTTAACAAAATTGTTAGTAATAATTGTTATTTCTTTCAGGAAGACAAGAGAGCCATGGTCGCAAATGCTTTTGGTGAAGATCAAGCTGGAGGCACCGGAATTCGTCTGACTGTTGACGATCTCCGAAATCTTTTTGGGTTCTAAAGAAGAAATTGACTGGTGCATTAGGAGTAGATATCTGATGGATAATGCTCCGAGCTATGGATTGATGGGCATTGTTGCGTCTCTGTGGTGGGTAGGGACAGGGACTACCCTAATTTTGGACTTTTGGCCCTCCAGTTTGCAGAAAAGTCACCAGTCTGTTTTGGCTTGTAAATATTGTGTCATTTGAGTTATGTAAGAATAATATTATTTGGAGCGTTAGGCATCGTCTATAATAAAAGTTGAGTTGTCATGTAGGAGGTTTATATATTAGATATGTTACTTTGTGCAGAAGCTTAGGTCTTGAATTTGGTAGTCGCAGTTCAACTTTTTATCTGTTGGAAAACTTATCCTGTGACTTGAAAAAGGAAGAGGAAGGGTGACAAATGTGGGGGATTTTGGTTTGATCGGAGGTTATATTTAGTTTGTATTGTTTACCATTTCTGCGATTCAGGTATTGCTAAAAGTGATCATAACTGTTTCAACCATATGATTGGTTGCTTAAAACAGTCTCACAATTAATTGATTATTGAATTATATAAACGAAGAAACATGAAAATCTAGCAAATGTGGTCACCAGGGCTCTGTGTTCGTTGCTCAGGGCTTAGGCTGTGGTTTCAAACTTCAAAGAGGTGTTGACGTAGGTTGTATACAGAATTCAGTGTTTTGTACGGTATGTACCGGTGGCTGGCCAGTCATATGTTTTTTATTTGGCTCAAATTGTTTTCTGGAGTGAGGCGCTTTGGGGTATGGGTGGACTCCAGAACCGGCCCGGCCCGCCACTGTTCTGCCCGGCCCGGCCCGGTGGCCCGGTCAGGGACCGGTCCGGGTAGGCCCGACCCGAGGTGGTTCCGGTCCGGGCTCGGGCTCCTTAAAACGTGAACCAGCCCGGCCGGTTCGGCCCGGTCCGGCCCATTTTTTTTTGATTTTTTTTTTAAAGTTTTTGGATTGGGCTGGGTATTTTGGCCCATTTGAAGTGGTTTGGGGTGGTTTGGGTGGGAGGGGGGGGGTTGGGGGTTAATTAGGAAAAGGCAAAAAAAACAAAAATACTTGAGGCCCGGTCCGACCCGGCGGTTACACGGGCCGATTCTGGGGCCCCCAATCCAGGACCGGAGGCCCGACCTGAACCGAGTTCATCCATACTTTGGGGTGATTGGAGTGTCTGAGTAGGGATGGACCCGGGCCAGTTCGGGCCTTGGCCCGGCCGGGCTTTTTCTCTGCGAAGGGAGAACTGGAACTGGCCCAGGTAGGCAGTGGTTCGGGGCCGGGCCGGTTCCGGTTCAATGTTATTTTTTATTATTTTCTTTTGCTTTTTTAATTATCCCCCGACCCCCCCCCCCCCCACCCAAAACACCCAGCCCAACCTGGTAGAAACAAAAAAAAATGAAAAACAAAAAAAATTGAAAAAAAAAATGAAAAACAAACAAAAAATTGAAAAACAAACAAAAAAATTGGCCCGGATCGGCCGGGCCGGTTCCACTTTTAGAAGGCCCGAGCCCGCCCCGGGAATTGAGCGGTTCAGTAGGTCCGAACCTGCCCGAAGACCGGCCAACCGGTCCGGTCCGGGCCCAAACAGTACCGGGCCGGTTTTGGGCCGGGCGGCCTGACCCGAGTCCACCCCTATGTCTGAGGTAGAGATATGTTTTGTTGAAATAGACTTCTCTGTCTGTTCCTGCACAGGATGCAATAGATGGGCTGGCTTGCTAGAATGGCTGTTGGCATAGATTTTCCAGTTCTCTTTGCTAGAGTGGTGGGAGCAGGAGGCTGGTTTATTGATGTTGCAGTGGCAAGATTCCAGGAGGCACTATTCAAGAGGGAGGTAAAGGTGTGTGTACCAGATGGTGTGCAAGATGGAAACGCCGCAAAGGATAACTGGTTCTTTATTCAAGACATGCTATTGAGTGCTAAGGGTCGTAATGTGTGCGTGGAGGTTGTTACAGTGGAGTTCATTGGGAGGGTTAGATTGGTGCGATTCATCCATGTTGCCGGACATGTTCCAGAAAAACAAGGGTGGGCACGTAGCATCGGCCCTATCATCCAGAGGCGGACCGTAGTACAGATCCAGGGGGGCTGCCGCCCCCCCAACAATTTTTTTTAGTGTTGATATATACAAAATTTTTATTTTTACCCCCCTAACATTTAATTCTCGCCCCTCCAAGAAAAATTTTGAACCCCCCCAAAAAATATTTTCTCCCCCAAAGCATAGCCCACTCGCAGAAACTCAATTGTTTAAGAGCCTAAAAAATAGAAATTTTACAAGTAATATTATATCAACTCACTCCAAAATTTATTCCCCATTAACCCACCCCAAAATCTAATCCCAGCCCACTGCCCAGACCAAACTAATGAAAAACATGCGCACCTAGAAGAAAGAAACGGAAAGATCGATTATTTTTAAATGATTGTCCTTATGCCTACTATGTTCATTGTTTAGCACATCAGTTGCAATTAGCATTGGTTGCTGCTTCTAGAGAGGTGAAATATGTGCATAATTTTTTCATCGATTCAGTCTTTATTATTAATGTGACTAATTCTTCTTGCAAACGAAGTGATGAATTAAAGGAAGCTCAAGCACTTGAAATTGCAAGAATGTTGGAAATTGGTGAGCTTGAAACAAGCAGATGACTTAATTAGGTTGGTACATTACAACAAGCTGGGGAAACTCGTTGGAGCTCACATTTCAGTTCTGTTTGCAGTTTGATTAGGATGTTTGCTGCGACTTGTTCTGTTTTAGAAGATGTTGAAGAGAATGGCAATAACTATTCTACTCGTGGAAATGCAGCTAGAGAACTTAAGAAGATTAAATCTTTTGATTTTGTTTTCTTGTTGCATCTTATTAAAGAAATTATGGGCATTACAGATCTTCTAGGTCAGCATATACAGAAGAAGTGCCAAGACATAGTAAATGTTATGCATTTGGTGTCAAGCACCAAAATGTTAATCCAAAAGTTAAGGGAGGGTGGATGGGATAACTTCTTAGAAATTGTTAAAGAGTTTTGCACAAAGCATGAAATTGAAGTTCCTAATATGAAGTCTCCTTATGCGGTAAAACGCAAACGCCATGATCAAGAAGGGTTTGATATTGAACGTCACTATCGGGTTGATATGTTTTACGCAGCCATAGATTCATAATTGTTGGAGCTGAATAGCAGATTCGGTGAACAGATAATGGATCTTCTTACTCTTAGTGGTGCTTTGGATCCTAAGGACTCATATAAGTCTTTTAACATTGATGATATCTGTTCTTTAGTGGATAAATATTACCCCTTTGATTTTATTGAGCAGGAGAAGGTGAGCTTGAAGTTTCAATTGCAACATTATAAGCTCAATGTTCTAAACCATCCAAAGTTGGCGAATTTTTCTACAATGGGTGAACTTTGTCAAAGATTAGCGGACACGGAGATGTCAAAAGTGTACTTTCTTAGCTTGTTGATAAATTGATCCGACTTTTGTTGACTACCGGTTTTGACAGCAACAACCGAAAGGACTTTTTCCGCAATGAAAATTATAAAAACAAGGCTTCACAATAAAATGGAGGATGAGTATGTTGCAGAAAACCTTATTGTTTATATTGAAAGAGAAATTGCTAAAACTTTTGACTAAAAAGCCGTGATTGAGGAATTTATCTCGTTGAAGAAGCGTTGGGTACAATTCTAAGGTACTAACTTTAACTATTTTGTAATAATATATTTGTCTCTTCTTCTATTATAATGCTTCATTTAATTACTACTCCGTATTATATTAAGGTTATAACTTATAATAATAATCGCCTAGATTTTTTTTGTTTAATTTATCGCCCCCCAATATCAATTTCCTGGGTACGCCCCTGAGCATCTCGGTAATTCCGGTGGCAATGGCTTCGAGGTCATCGGACAAGCTGTGACTAGGTTGCCATGAAAGAGGTGATTGTTAGAGATGGTGTCCAAGGGCTGGTTTGAAGTAGATACCTAGTGATGGTTTGGGATCAATGGCTCTGCTTCCAGTCATTTCATTTTTCTTTTTTGCACTTTCTTTTTAAAGGTTTGAGTAATGTTTGTGAGTTTGTTGGATCAAGGGCTCAGCTTGCTGTAAATTCATTTTTCTTTTTCGCACTTTATTTTTAAGGGTTTGAGTAATGTTTGTGAATTTGTTGTTTACTGAAACTGAAGGCTCCCATTTTTCCTACACATGGTTAGCATTCGAGTTGTTGATGATCTCTAAATCTAATTGCTGGAGTTTTACTTGGGTCCGGGAGTACTGATTTGGTTCTAGTTGGAGTTTTTTTTTGTGTGTTATTTTGGAAGTAACGTAAGGATCATGATTTTATTAATATATTAATGTAGGCGATTTTCATTGAAAATAAGAAACATGCAAGGAGTTCATTCAACAGAACAGTTTAACATTAACTCAAATTAATCAGTGCAATTGGATTCCGTCCATTCGAACTCCGTCTTATTGAGGAAAAGTGGCTTAAATTGATACCACAACATACAGATAAGAGCTAAAAAGACAAAAAGACCGTAAGCAACTGCCAACCGTCGAACCAGACTCAGAGTTAACCACCTTAAAAGAAGCAATATAACTCGTTGATTCATTTATGGGCGCAACTGAGACAAAGGCGGAAAGCACAGACCTCCTGTCACCCAAATCCAAGATCAAAGTCTTACAAATTACAATGCAAAAAAATAACAAGCTGAAAATAAACAAAGTACTCAACAAGTACAACAAAAAAATAAAATCTCTCCTTCGTCTTCCAGAAAGAAAATACCAAATAACATCCCGAGCCTGTAACCCTAGACTTTTCTGCACTCCATGGCGGTGGTTCAGGAGGAGGTCGGACCAACAATACTGCATCTTCTTCCTCATCCTGCTCCTTGTTGATCAAACTCCCTGTCATACTCTCACGTTGCCAAACGTCAATCCTCAATATGCAAATTAAAGAAAGCAAAACAAAAACCTGCACAATCAAATCCGTTGCCTCTCTTCCTCTAGCCCTGTCAGTCACACCAAAGTCGACCTCCCTCTGTCGTTCGTACGTCAAAATAGCTGCAAGATTGGAACGCCTAAACCGCAACACTCCTTCCAGCCGCCTGCCAATCCACCTCACCGAGCTTCACAAATCAAAGAAGAAGAAAATGCCGCTCCTCCACTTATGTCGATAGCGGAAAATTGACCCTAGCGGCTAAAGTCCTCGGACTCGAGTTCGGTCTTATTGGAAAGTTATATATTTATGGGAAAACATGTGTATGTTAGAACTTTAATAAATACTACGTATATATCTTTGGTATAATTTTCTAAATTGAAATGTAATTAGTCCCTAATTACTAACGAATTACGCAAGCATTATTTGAATATTTATGATGCACGCATATTTATCTATCCTAGTAAAGGATCTTAAGCTAGAGAGAGGCTTTGAAATTAAAAAAAAGAGAGGGTGGGGGCGGGGTATGGGTGCAGACTTAGAAGCTGTTCCGTTCGTCTTAATCTTATTACTTATTCCTTAATCTTATTTTATTCAGATCAGATCAGATCAGATCAGAAAGATTCAGATCAGATCAGATCAGATCAGATCAGAAAGATTCAGATCAGATCAGATCAGATCAGAAACATTCAGATCAGATCAGAAAGATTCAGATCAGATCAGAAAGATTCAGACCAGATCAGACCAGATCAGAAACATTCAGATCAGATCAGAAACATTCAGATCAGATCAGATCAGATCAAAAAATTCAAACATGATTTATCACTTTTATTATTATATTAATTATGATTATTATATTATAGTTATTGTTAATAATATTAATATATTAATATAATAATATTATTAATAATAATATAATAATAATGTTAATAATATAAAATTATTATTATATTATAATAATATAATATAATATAATATAATATAATATAATATAATATAATATAATATAATATAATATAATATAATATAATATAATATAATATAATATAATATAATATAATATAATATAATATAATATAATATAATATAATATAATATAATATAATATAATATAATATAATATAATATAATATAATATAATTATAATTATAATTATGATTTACAATGTAATTATAATTATAATCATCATTATTATTAATATGATTGTTGTTCTTGTTGTTATTTTTGTAATTATTATTACTTCAGAGTAATTATATATTTAAATTAGTAATTATAGATATAATTGTGAATTTGTGATTATAGAGATAAATATTATAATTATAATTACAAAAAAAAATTATAAAATTAATCATAATTAAAAATATAATTACATTTATAATTGTATCTGTATTTATAATTAGTGTAATTGGTATAATTATTATAATTTTAAATTTAATTTTAATTATTATTTTTTATAATTATGATTATAATTGTAATTTTATTTAAGTTATATTTTTAATTACAATTATAAATCTAATAATTATAATTATAATTAGAATTATAGAAATATTCAAATCAGATCAGAAAGATTCAGATCAGAAGAATTCAGATCAGATCAGAAACATTCAGATCAGATCAGAAACATTCAGATCAGATCAGATCAGATCAGCAACATTCAGATCAGTTCAGCAACGTTCAGATCAGATCAGAAAGATTCAGATCAGATCAGAAAGATTCAGATCAGATCAGATCAGATCAGAAACATTCAGATCAGATCAGATCAGATCAGAAAAATTCAGATCAGATCATATCAGAACTTAAAAAATTCAGATCAGAAACATTCAGATCAGGTGAACGGAACAGCTTCTTACTCTCACTTTTCCATCATCACGTTTGAAACGCAATTCGTAATTTCATATATTTGTCAGTTTTCGACTTTCCATAAGTACTTTTTGTTTGGGATTGTCCCATTTTTTACCATATATTAGGGATTGTCCCATTTTTTACTTTTTGTTTGGTCCTACTAAGATCAAAATTGTCTTATGTCAAATTGGTAAAGTTTATGTGACTCTAAATTATTTTTACTTTATTCTTACTTTATCAATTCAATATTAATCACATAAACCATTTTTATTGATCTGTGTGTCACTTCATCTTGTCTCATTGTTAGTAGGACAGAGGGATAATATTTGGTTTGATTTGTCTTGTAGGTGGTTGATTGCTGTCGGATAGATTATTCAGCCCTACTTTCTTGATAAACCCAATTAGTTGTAATACTCGTATATGTATGTAATAATGTAGTAACCAATTATTTACTCAACAAGTCAACCTTTGGAGTTTGGACTGTTCTAAATAAAAATGAGGTATACTATCAGTGATCAGTTGTGATACAAACTAAAATGAGATCATTATTTCCCCATAATCTTAATTGAGTAATAATTAAATAGACGGTTGTGCATTTATCAATTTCTAGGAACTAAAACTAACAAATACTCGTAATAATTAAATAAATGAAAGTGGGATTTACTTTATTGTACTACTAAAGTCTTTTCTATCTTGTTTTAAAGTCGTCTAAAATAATCATTTCTCGAATATGTTGATACTTCTCGCAAGAGTGGTATAAATTGACATTTTATCCAAAAAAAACTAAAATTTAGTAACGAATAAAAACAAGAGCAGAAAACGTTGAATTTAAAACAATCAACACGGAGAAAACTGAGAATATGCACAGTGATATGTGCATGACCGAGGTCTTATCTTTTTTGATAATATTTTTGTCAATCAAAGTGTTTACTTCTAGACGTTGTACTTGACATTATGGAGAAAAATTTATCAAAAACAAATAAGATCGTAGAAAGCGAGAGAAATGTCATCGTTTTTTATCTCTCTCATGTCATATATGCACCGTTCAAATTATTACAATGGAGATGATATTAAAATTTAAACACAGAACTGATTTTGGTTTAAACTAAAGAGTAATTGAGTTGAACTAATGAAATATATAGAATAGGCTATATATATCCGCCCTAGCGCAGCGTATCAAGTTTCGGAATTCCATGCACAACGTCTCCCTAGCGGCTTTGCCGCCGCGTAGGGTTTCCTTCCCCCAATTGTTTGTGCGGCTCTTCTTCTCTAGGCTTCCAGAGTGCTTTTTAAGTTTAGATTGTTGCTTCTGGTTTTGAGATTTAGGCAACTTTCAGATTATCCATTGGATCTCGAAGCTGCGACAAGATTTCATCTTTGTTTTCTGATCTCTTTTCTCGGCTTGTGCAAGTCAATCTTAAAGGAGGCGTGAGTGCGGCTGCAGCTTTTGGAAACTAATCCAAAGTTTAAGAAACAATATCATGTCTTCTATGGATGATCTAGAGCATCGTTGTCTCATTCCCGCAATTGAGGAGGTCAAAAGGTTAGTTTCTGACGAATCAACATGGATAGAGGGCGGTGGTGGTAGTGGAGGCGGAACGGGCGATGAGAAGACGGGAGAGATGAAGGGCTGAGCAAGGGAGAAGATGTATCGGCGGTCCGCCCCCTCCTGAACCGCCGCCTTGGAGCGATCGAGGTGCTAGAGTTCGGAAGATTTGTCAGTTATTTAATTTTTTATGGTTTTATTTTCGCGTAATGTTATATGCTGCTCCGTTTTTTGTTGATGTCTTTAGTTTTAGGTCAACAATTATGATTGGCAATTCTGCTAGATATTATGTCGTTAGAAAGATCTATATGTGCAGTGATTGCGGTGTCACACCCGCTTGGTGGTTAGCGATTCGTATTGCTCTTTCAGGAATGATCGTCTCTGAGTCTAGCCGTAGGGTTGATAGTGCTAGTTGGTTAGAGATAGTTGTTGTTAAGGTTGGTCTTTTTGAGTTTGTCGTAGCAATCCGATTCCTAATGATATTAATATAAGCAGTTTGTTCTTATGATTAAAAAAAGGATAGGCTATATGGAAAAATGAATTTATATTAAAAGTATGAAGAGTGGAGAGTCATTGAATTGAGCTATTGAAATTTAGACGTATTATTTTATAGAAAAAAGAATTTACAAAACAAATCTAAAGAGCCATTGAGTTCAGCTATTCAAATATTGATATAGGCTATATGAAAAAAGAATTTACAATAAAAGAATAAAGAAAGAACTAAATTTATGTTGAGTTATTAAAACTGGAGAGTAATTGAGTGAATGAAATAAATGAAATATTGAGGAGTTAATTACCTTTATAGGAGTAAAAAGTTTACAATTTGCCAAAATAGGAGTATTCACGTAATCTATGTTTGATAGGGGTCTTTTAATATCAAGTTTGACAAAAATAACCTTCTAGTAAATATGATACGTACGTTCCTCTTCGGCACAATTAAAGATTCGTTTACTGATAGATCTGTTCGACATTGCTGCTATCATGTTGAGCTTCAAGCCTTTATAGTTTATAAACTCTTCTTTTAGTCTTGTTTGTTGGTTTGTGCGTCTTTCAATCACCAATTTTTGCCGCAAAAAAGGTTCTTTTATATTGAATTGTTTTAATCAAACATATTTAAATTTAATCATACGGATATTGAAATTGATAGGATGATCACCCTTACTAATTTGCCTTTGAATGTTATAAATTAACAAGTAAATCACCTACGCCGTTGCCGCCATTCTAGTCACCGTTATCATCTTTTATTAAAAACTGTCGCAAGTGCCAATTTAGGGACCACCGCTTCCCCTCTGAGATTGCCGTCGCCGTCAAAACTCCTATGTTACTAATCAGCCATTAAGTTGGCAGATTAATTACGAATCTGCCATAATGTTGGCAGATTTACACATAACTGCCATAATCTTGGCAAAATATGAAGTGAAGTACTAAAAATTCGGTTTTACAAAATTGAACAAAGCTTTAATGATAAAAATCCACCATTTAATACTTTAACAAATCCACCTCAATCAGAAACAAGAAGTTAATGATAAAAATCAGAAAACCATTTTACACCAAAGCTTATTTATCAATTTCGGGACCACCGCTTCCCCTCTGAGATTGACGCCGCCGTCAAAACTCTTATGTTACTAATCAGCCATTAAGTTGGCGGATCAATTACGAATCTGCCATAGTGTTGGCAGATTTACACATAATTGCCATAATTTTGGCAAAATATGAAGTCAAGTACTAAATATTCAGTTTAATAAAATTGAACAATTACTTTAACCAATCCACCTCAATAAAAAACAAGAAGTTAATAATAAAAATCAGTAAACCATTTTACACCAAAGCTTTTTTTTATTTATCATTTTACGATTGCCAGTGTACATTTTTGCCATAAATTTGGCAAAAAATTATGCCATCATCCAAAAATTCAGAAAATCAGGAAAAACTGAGAAATCAAAAAATGGAAATACGAAATTGATGTCCAGAAATTAACAAATCAAATACCAAAACTCAAAAAATAGAGAAATAGAAGAAAAATAGAGAAATAGAATAACGGGATGAGGAGGAAGAAGAAGAGGAAGAAGAAGGATGAGGAACCTGATTTGCAAACAGAGTGTGTTGGAGTCAACGACGGCAGATATGGCTAGGTACGAAATCGGCGATGGCATGCGGAGAAGAAGTTGATCAATTTTATTCGCATAGATTGAAGTTGAAGTCGACGGATCTAATTTGCAGGGGAGAAGAAAGTGATCGATGGAGTAGGGGAGGTGATGATGCGCATAAAGGAAGGAGAAAATTGTGAGCAGGAGAGTGGATCAATCATTGGTTAAACAAAATAGGGGCAAGAATGGAATAGAAGTCTATATGTTTTGAATAGGAGTAATATGATCTTATTTGGGAAAAAAACATACATACTCCTATTTTAGAATTTCTCTCTTGTTTTACTCCTCTATGAGGCAATTTTTTCAATATTGAAATATAAGCTGTAAATATATTTGAAATAATAAATGAATTGAATAGAGCTTCAACCCATCATAACTTAAGTATAATTTTGCCAAAAAAAAAAGAAGAAACTCAAAGTATAATTATATGGGTACACATTGCTCATCACTTGCACCTACCATATGCTTCCTCACCACACCATACCGCACACATGTTTCAAAAGCTAAGGCTTTGTTTACGGCTTATGATAGTTATCAATTTTAACTATATCTCTTTAATACTTTTTAAAGACAAAAAAATAAGAGTTGAAAAACTTTCAAACTAACGTTGTTAATTTGTTAGGTTACTTATGTACACACAAGCATCTATCAAATTAGACCACGAATTAGATTAGATCAAATCAAATGCATCACACTAAATCAGAAAATTTCAATCCCAATTAAAAACATCATTGATAATCACGTCAAAATGTTATGTGAAAACATGCTAAGACCATCTCCAATACCATAATATACGCAGTGCACATGTGACATGAAAAATATAAACACACAAATATTTGTAAGCAAAATATCTCGTTGCTTTTTTAACAGTCTTATATATTTTTCGTAAAAAAATTTCTACAATGTTAAAAAGATTGTATAGATGTAATCATTATAATTGATATTATAATCAAAATTATATAAAATTGTGGAAAGAATGAGAGAAAAATATCAATAAGTTATTTTTATGTATCTATTTCTCTTGCTACATGCGCAGTGTGCATCGTGTATATTGTATCATTGGAGATACATCATACGTTGTACTCCATTCATTTCTCTATAATTGTCTCATTTTTCCATTTTTGGATGCTTTACTATTATTGTCTCATATCATATTTGATAACATTTGTGTGACTCTAATTCATTCTTACTTTATTCTCATTTTATCAATTTCTACTTCTGTGTGATATCAATTCAGTCTCACATATTCTACTTTTCTTAAAAATCACATTATTCTCTGTCCCAATATTAGGGGATGAAGGAGTATAATATACCAATTCATTAACGATCCAATTACTACAAGCTTCAAAAATAGAATGCGACAATGGTTGCTCACATCCCCTGCCACCAACTATTGCTTTCTCTACTTTTCCTGTTTCTCTTTATATGCTAGAGGCCGCCGTAGCTGCCTCTAGCATAACCAGAACCTCTGCCACCCACGAAGATTTCAAAGTCAAAAATGCTTCTTGTACACACATTAGTACACACTCTTGTACACACTATAAAAGGACTTTATTTTGTTTTACCTCTATCACATTTTTTACCCTTTCTCCTCCTACTCCATTCTCTCACATCCCTTCTCCTACGCCACATCTTTTCTCTCTCACCCCCTCTTCTCTCATTCTTCTTTTCCTTCATTCTCATTCCACTTGGATTCTCCCTTTCCAAATCCTAGGACTAAACTTTTAGGTGGCACCTTTCTTCAAATTCGATCCCACGAGTATGCAGCTGGAAGTCGAGAATGAGACGGATGATTTTCCCATCAACCAGCCCACAAATTGAGGTAATAACCTATTCTATTTTTCTATTTCACTTAAGGTTTTTGTTTATTGAAAATATATGATTATTTGAGTATAAACACTGATTAGATGAATATTTTGTACTATTGTAAGAGAATGTAGGGTTAACTACTGAAATTTTAATTCAATTACTCTATTTCACATTTATGCACATAACATGTTTGTTGAAATTACTCACTGATTTTTTTTGTTTAAATCCATGACTTTTACTCTCCTTTTTTTGTGACTGGTCTTTTTTTGTTAATTAGTTCAAGATTCTAATTTTCCTTTTCCCCAATTTTATTAATGATATAGTTGTTTTATTGACTATTTTATTTGCCTATTATGCTTTTATTAGTTTTTTTTTTGTTGGAGGTTGCTTCAAATAAGTTGAAGAGAGGGTGGCTGGAATTTTGCATTTTTGTAGATATGTAATAACTAAACTCAGGAGACCTTTCTAAGTAGGAGTAGGTGTTGCATGAACTGGTTTCCAAATTCATTTTATGAACCAAAGAGTGTATAGTAGGAGGTTCTTGTTATTATGGCTTACTAAAGTGGTGCTTAGTTTTGTCTTGATGTGGTGTGAACTTTGAACTTGTGTATATATTTTGTCTTTCTAAATCAGTTTAGTGATCATCGATGAGAAGAGCACTTTGATAGTTAGTAGAAGACTAGAAGTTATTCTAAACCTTTCGACCTTTAGAAAGGTAATCCATTACTCATGCTTTTCAAGTTAAATCTTTGACTTAAAATTGCTTTAGTATGCCTCTCGTGTTTGCACACTTCTTTGTGTGGGGTTAATTTATTGTCATAGCCTTTACGACATTACATACATGTAGTTATTCAAAAAATTAAAATATTTGTACCTTAACACTATTTATAAAGTGGACAAAACTAATTTATCATCTAAACTCTAAAAGTTTTAAATTGGAAACATGTTCAAAGATTAAAACACTTAAAGCATGCATGTTTTATCTCATGTTAAACGTATGAAAATGTTGAATATTGGACTTACTTTACTCATGAAATATATTTTGCAGGTCTGATTGTTGATCAGATTGTTGATTTAACATTTATTAAGCCGAAGTTCGAGACGGTGAGATCGGATGAAGCAGTGAATGGAAATATGGAAATGTTATTGCTATTAATCTTATCACTAATCTTTTGTATTGGACGTGTATTAGTATTTAGTGATGTTGGGTTGGATAAGTGATGTGTTAGTAATTGTATGGATGCAATAAAAAGTGTCTTGTAATTGTAAGTTGTTTTGTTTGGCTGTAGTGGTGTCTGTGAACCAGATATGAATTGTCTGGTCACAGACAATAGTCACTTAAACAAACTAATAAGTTGAGAGGAATTGTGTTTGAACTAGATGTGAAGGGGCTTCTCATAATTTTCTATCCCAAATGAATTTGAGAGAAATTGTATGTGTTCGTTGATATTGTCTATGTGTGACTAAAACATAGTTGGTGTATTCATTATTGTCAGTGCATGGTTAAACTATTCTGTGTGTTCGCTTATTTTGTCTGTGTAAAGTATGATATAATTGTCTGTGTGTTTATTTGTATTGTCTGGGTGTTTATTTATATTGTCTGTGCGTGGTGAAACGTTATTAGTGTGTTCATTTATTTTGTTTGTGGATGAAAAATAGAGGTTTTTTCACAAATATTACCAAAAAAAATTAATGGACAAAAATATTATATAATTACTATGCAAGTCTCTATAGTGTTAGATTTGAACACAATCATGGTAATTAAAGTTACTATGATAGTCACTAAGTCATATTTTTGTCCACTACTTTTATTTCAATCATATATTTGTCATCATTTCTAAAAAAAATTGTAATTTGTAAATTTTAGAGCGCAATTTGTGTATAATATTGGAGTGTATATTCAATGTTTGTATTCCACTTTTATTTTGATTTTAATTACACTTGTATTGTTTGAGTTTTCAAAGTGTATATTTTGTATCCAGAGAGTGACTTTGGATGTTGTCTAGGTAATTTGTCTGTGTCCAGATAAAATAAATGAACACACAGACAATTATTGTCTGCCCTTACAAAATAAATGAACAAATAAATAATACTTTAACCATTCACACACAATAAAGTGAAGACATAGATGATGTTTTGACTATATACACACAAAACAATTGTACACACAGAACAAGTGAAAACCCAGAGAACGGTTTAGAATGGTTTAATCACACAAAGAAAATATAAATGAGGACAAAATAAACGTTCAAATTAGCCCAAATCTCCCTAAAACCGCAAGCAAGTCCGCAAGTCCACAACCCCACATTATTCTTTGCACGCTCAGTTTCGGTGCTAGTGGTACTGATAATTGACCTGGTTACTTGTTCCTTTTGCCCAGACTTTATTTGTGTCACATATGCCTTGAAGAGTGAATGCTTTGTTTTGATACAAGCTGTTTAACTCTTTCTCTTCTCTTTCTTTGTTGGATTTTACTTTTTATAGATGGCATGCGGCATGTGGATCCTCCAACAAAAACCACTTCATCCAAATTTGCATTTAACTCCTGAATTTTGATGTATATAGAGTCAGTCATGTAAACATGATTATGTGAGTAATAATAAATACGGAGTATAACCAATCAAACACATTATAGCAAGCATCCTAACAAAGAACTAATATAATGACAACACTAGCAGTACTATGTAGGCAAGAAAAAGTAACTAGCAGTGCGACTAACCAGGACAACCAAACACTTAAGCATCATAAATATAACAACATTTTATTTCAACATTTTATCAAACACATTGTGGGCAAGAAAAAAGAATGATCTCTAGAACATTAAGAGTTATGATGAACACCATACATTCCAACAATGAAGCAAAACAATCCAACAACAGTCCATATAATGTAAACAAAACATACAATTTCAAAAAAAAAGGAACTCAATCAAAACCTTAATGAACATTAACCAAAAAAAAGAGAAAACTTGTTACCTAATGAGTTGAGTTTGGGAGGATGAATTATAGGGCTGCAAAGGTAAATGGACGTAAGGGTGACGTAGGTGGCTGAAAGGGCCGACCGTTTGCTCGAAGGTCCACCTGCAAAAAATTAACAAAAAAATATAGCAGCTAAGTGAAAATTAGAGAAGTTTTTGTGATAGAAAGAAACTAAAAGAAAGATGAATTATGAATGGATTGAAGGAAGAGAGACAATGAAGATTCTTTTACTGTAAAAGAATGAATTTAATGGAGTGAAGAAAAAAAGAAAAAAAAAGGAACAAGGGTGATAGATGGCGAACAATGGGGAAAGAGGAGAAAAGTGGCGTAGAAGAGGGGAGGAGAGGAGAAAGGGCGTAGGAAAAGTAAGGAGAGAGAGGAGAGATTGGTGGAGGGGTAAAGAGGGTGAAAGAGGGTAATTATTTTGGGAGTATTTATAGTGGGTATATGGTGGGTATTATAATGGGTACAAAGAGACTTTTTGTTTCAAAGTTGAAGAGTCCATTTCGCTGGCCACCAAAATCCTTCCGCCCAACCCTCAGGAATTCGATGACGGAAATCTCAAAGTTCCAGAGCAGGGGATGGTGCGTAATTGGAAGCTCAAAATCCTACACCGCGACAGATTAACTCTTCCTCGTATTTCCGGCTTCCGGAACCGGTTCGAATCCCGAATGAAAAGGGATGAAAACAGAGTATCCACTCTCATTCGCAGAATTCGCGGCGGCGGCAGTGGCAGCAGCGACGGAGGTGAAAACGCATCCATTGAGACCGCTGTATATGAGGTTGAGGGTTTTGGGACGGAAGTGGTTTCCGGTGTGGATGAAGGGAGCGGAGAGTACTTTGTCAGGATCGGGGTTGGGATTCCGGCGACATATCAGTATATGGTGATCGACTCCGGGAGTGATATTCTGTGGGTTCAATGCCAACCCTGTACCCAATGCTACCATCAATCTGACCCGATTTTCGATCCGTCTCTCTCGGCATCGTTCGCCGGGATGCCCTGTAACTCCTTCCTTTGCGACCAGATAGAAAATTCGGGGTGCAATTCGGGTCGGTGTGAATACAAGGTCCGGTATGGGGACGGGTCCTACACGAAGGGGATGATGGCGTCCGAGACTCTCACGTTCGGGGAAACTGTGGTCCGGAATGTGGCCATCGGGTGCGGGCATAGTAATCGGGGCATGTTCACCGGAGCTGCTGGGTTGTTGGGTCTAGCCGGGGGATCCATGTCGCTCGTGGGTCAGCTCCGCGGGGAAACGGGTGGAGCTTTCAGTTATTGCTTGGTCACCCGCGGCACCGAGTCAACTGGCTCATTAGAGTTCGGGCGTGGAGCCTTCCCAGTGGGTGCCGCATGGGTACCATTGATCCGAAACACACGGGCCCCGAGTTTTTACTACATCGGGCTTTCGGGTTTGGGCGTTGGAGGCGTTCGGGTTCCAATACCCGAAGACGTATTCGGGTTGACGGACCTAGGTGATGGCGGAGTGATCATGGACACGGGCACAGCGGTTACGAGATTTCCCACGGTGGCGTACATTGCGTTGCGCGACGCATTTGTTAACCAAACCGCCAGGCTTCCGCGGGCACCCAACGTCTCGATATTTGACACGTGCTACGATCTTAATGGGTTCGTTACCGTTCGGGTACCGACCGTTTCATTTTTCTTTACGGGCTGTAACACAATCCTGACCCTACCCGCTACCAACTTTCTTTTACCAGTGGATGAAAAGGGCACTTTTTGTTTTGCATTTGCTCCATCTCCAAACGAATTGTCCATCATTGGGAACATCCAGCAACAAGGCATCCAGATTTCGTTTGACGATCCAAGTGGTTTTGTTGGTTTTGGCCCCAATATTTGTTAATTACTGCGTAATAAATAAATGAAGATTTGAACTTTATTTGGACTTTTTTTAAAAGGAGAACGCTTATATTAAACTCACAGGAACGAACGAACAAACATCAAACTTTTCAACCGGTATTTGACCATTCTTTGTGTAAAAATTTGATAAGAATACTCACATTTATAGTCCCAATTATTGGATACCTATATCATAACTAATCCAATGCAAACATTGCCATTTGCCGTTGCTCTGTGAAACCTATCTTGTATTCGTCATTAGACCAAACAAGTTTACTTTATATGAGATTTGGAAAATTGTAAAATACACATAAAACATACATTTATCATATCAGATCACCTAAAATCAAACCATGCTTATACAAACTAGATCAAAAATTATAATCCATTAAAAAAAGTCTAGCAATTTACCCTTACAAACTAGGTCAAAAATTATAATCCATTAAAAAAAGTCTAGCAATTTACCCTGGCTTATCTCTAGAAACTCATACCGCCATCAGACTATCACTATAGATACCAAGTTGTTTGAAGTTTAATCCCGTCGCAGGTATGACTTCGAGAGTAACTAGTTTCAATTCTAGAAATCGTTCCTCACAACTAATGTGCAATTTATTAGCAAGGCAATAGAAAGATTAATGTAGGCATGGACACGGACCAGGTCCGGGTCGGGCCTAGGACCAGGCGGGCCGACAGTTCAGAATTGGTGGACCTGGGACCGGCCAGGGTAGCCACCGGGTCCAGTCCGGGCCGGGCCTCCGGTTTGGTTTTTTTTTTGCTTTCCTAACCCCCCTCCCACCCCCCACCCCCCACCCCACCCCCCCCAAACCCCTCCTAACCATCAAGCCCAACCCGGGTGGAACCCCAAAAAATGAAAAAAAAAAAAAAAAAAAAAAAAATGGCCCGGGCCCGACCCGACCGGTTCGTCAAATGTAAGACTCGAGCCCGGACCCGCCCCCCCAGGCCTAGGACCGGACCCGAGAACTGGGCCGGTCCATGGGCCGGGTGGCCCGACCCGAATCCACCCCTAGATTAATGGTCTAGTTCATTTCCAGAATCGGGAACTGGTCCACCGTCCACCCCCAATTCAGTATTTAGAAGATTTTGATAGGGACACGGACAATTGTAATTTGTAAAGGAGATTCGGTACATATTGTTGAGTTCTATTTTGTTCACCCCTTCATAGAGGGTGAACATCACCCCCTCCCTCCAACACATGACACTTGGCAAGACTTTTAAATTTTGCAATTGTAATGCCAAGTGTCATGTGTTGGAGTGAGGGGGTGATGTTCACCCTCCATGAAGGGGTGAACAAAATAGAACTCCATATTGTTGGACATAAAAATTTACCATTGTTGATTTAAAAGCTTTATGTAACTTTCACCGATCATCATTCTGATTTTTCTTGCAAATTTCTATATAAAATTCAAAATAATTTTTTTAATCAGTTATGTTTTTTTACATTTTTTAAATCAGTGAAGGCCATTTATATATATAAAAGTTAAAGTTAAAACAAACAAACCGTTTTAAAATTTGAGTAAATTTACATGGTTGTAAATAAATGTCCCTTGTCAAACTTGCACAAGTATACCAGCAGTCAAACACGACTCTTTTTTTAAAACAATGAATCTTTTAAAACTTTGGGGGTGTTTGGATCTGATTCTCAAAACTGATTCTGCTCCTTCAGGGAGCAGAAGCATAAGCTGGAGTGTTTGGGTGAAATTCCAGAAGCACTTCTGGAACTCTAATTTACTCTCAGAATCAGTTTTTTTAGAAGCTGGGGGGTACCAGTTTTTTTAGAAGCAGAATCAGTTCCAAACACCCCCAAAATGAGTTAAATTTGAATATGCATTATGCAATACGCTCATTTCCTTTTTACTCCAAAAATATATTAGCAGCACGAATAATAAAACGTCACAATATATTCGCAGCCACTGAAACGAAAGTATGGGTCTTTCATATAAATCTACTCCCACCAAACAAACAATATACATAAGAAATAAGAAATCTAACTACAAATTTTTCATTAGGTTCAACTCTAAGATAAACACCACCTACTTTGTCAAACTGACCAATCATAAAAGCCTTTATATTAGATCTTAGATATTATATGCAATGTGTGGAAATGGCCTAGACAACAGAAGTACCCTCGGTTTTATTGTACCGTGAAACTAGCTTTTGGAAACCTAACAGCTTGTTCAATGCACCAATATATGCTCTCACACTAGAGATGACAATGTCCATAGATGCCCCTGTTCCACTGAGCAGACAACAAAGATAATGGAAATAATATCAAATTCGACTCACAAAAAATCAGAAATAATACCAAAGAAACTTCAAGGGATCATATGGAAGGTTTCCCAACACCTCAATTGAAAATAATGCTACAGTCAAGAGAATGCAATGATAAAAGAGAGCTTGTGCCATAGGTACCTATACGAGCGGTTGGCACTCTCTCCGGTTAAACCATGGTCTGGTGTACTGTTGTTCCGAATAAGAACTCTAGTGGTGGCTATGGCATCAATACCTTCAGTAACAGCAGTCATAGAATACTCGAGGAGAGTTATTGGCACCTGCACTCCAAAAGACAATAATTTGAAAAGATAATGAGCATGTTTGGTTCGGGAATTTTGAAGGGGGTGGAATGGTAATATGGTATGGGTGATACTTATTTTTGAAATAATTCTTACATTTAGATAGTTTTTAAATAAAGCTATTAAACTAAATAGAGACAATGTCTAGCTAATATTTTAATTATTTAAAGTCAAAACCAACCAATAGTGATAAATTAATAAAACAGAAATCAATCATCCCCTTTCCTTCCCTTCAAAATCCCTCAAAGAAACATTCCCTAAGGATGTGGAATGCAATGGGGTTTGCTATACTCATAAGTAGAACTTGTATCAAAACCTTAACACACATAGTTCATAAGGTGATAATGTATCGTTTTAAACCTTTGTAATTAGATCAACTGCCTTATAAGCCGCATCTACAGGGCCAGTGCCGACAGAACAAGCAATGTGCTCTTCACCGTCAGCATCAATGAGTTTAACCGTTGCCGTTGAAAGGCCAAGACTGCCACATGTTACCTGCCCATTGTTTATAGCGTCATTATAATTGACTGAATGCTCGGGCTCATCCATGTGAATCATAAGTTAGAAAATAAAATACTTCTGCAAAGAACGGGTAGAGATTATAAACCTGTGCATCCCCAAGTCTCCAAAACACTTGTGGCTGGAAAACTTCATCTGATACTAGTGCAATTAGGTCTTCTTCAGTTACTTTCTGAAAGTAAATAAAGTAAATCCAATGCATCAATGTTAGGTGTTGTTGTAAATGCATCGATGGTGTTGTTGTTGGGAATAAGGCTTGGATGTTGTTGTAAATGCATTGATGCATCTCCAGTATTAAAGTTGCTATAAACGAGAGATAGTAGCTGGTATAAATTGTGTAGGAGATAAAAATCAATTGCACAATAGTACTACTAATGGTTCCTCTTTTGCCATTAGCCTAAATACAAAAAATTTAAAGTATGTATTCTTAGAAATACACTATTGCAGGTTTTGTCTGCAGTAGTAGAACTGCAAAAATTATACCAGGAATTCTAAGGTCCTGCTCAAAAGAGCAGGTACGCCATATCTATATCATGAATATGATCACTGAATACTCAATATATGCGCACATTTGGACAAATGCCAATGCTCTAGGTCTGTCCTTTAGAAAACAAGTGTACCTTGTCTGCATGAGCTTAATAAAAGCTTACTTAAGATTTTTCCTAGTACAAGTAGATATGCTCATTTTTACTGTACAATCATAGGCATGTGAAACCCTATCTCAGATTATGGAGGAGCTAATTAGAGAACATTATACACAACTTTTTGAAAGGTATTCATTTATTTACTTAAAAGGGCATCAACTAATTTGCCAGAGAAACTTCTAGTAACTATTTATTACCCTCTTTCACTTCTCTACCTTCAATAGAAAATTTCATTGCATCTTCACGTTGTAACTAGAGCAGGCATTCCAATTGAACATTGATTGTCCATATAATGAGATATTGAGTTAAAGGATTTCAATGGAGCAATGTCACAGACATCATACTTTAGTGGAATAGGTGGACTATCAATATAATAAGTGAGGTTTAATTTAAATTTCCCTCAATGAAAAAAAAAAGATAGTTTAAAAAGCAGACCAATAATATCACTGACGGGGTTCACCTTTTTCATTCCAGCAACAGATTTAAAACGCCAAAAGAGGTCCTCTAATTGCTTTCCTTCAATCTCATAACCAAGCTGTAAAACGAATGAAAATGTAGAACTTTATATGCACTAGCAAACAGACAGGAAACACGTTAAGATCTCCAAAGTGGTCGAAAACAAGTGTAATATACCTCCATGATTTTGGCTTGCAAAGCATGACGCCCACTGTGCATATTCAATAGGTTAGGAGAGGAAAATATAAAAAGAAAGAGCCTATAGGACCACCATAAAAGGAGGCAATGGTGGGAAGTTGCAAAAACTGAACCATTGTCCTTTAATCTAAGCAGGAACAAAACACTAGGGCGAATTAACCATTAATGGGAGAGTAGAATCAAATGTCCTGTGCATGCTTATTCTCAGTGAAATGACTTTTCTTAGGAACTATGATGGAAACTTAGAAACTAGACAAGGTCACTAACATACAATTAGAGTTTTTACTAGATCAGCTTCACAAAATGTATTTCTCCACCCATGAAGTTGATTAAGAACAACCATTTGATGGGAAAATGAAGAATACCTTAGTTTCCCGAGGACAATACCAGATTCATTTGCTCGATGAAGCCCAATATCTTCTGGAGACATTATCTCATATGTATCTTTGTTTTTCAGCATTCCGTCCTGGAAAAAAGCATACAGATTGAGGCAAAAGAAGCCCTGAGTAAGTGGAAGGGAAATACAGTGGAGCTGTTGAAGCATACATCACATTTGACATCATTTACTTCAATTCTTTTTTCTTTTTCTTTGTTTTTTTGAGACATTAGGAGTAGGACCAGAAATATCAAACATGTCAAAAAGTCATGAAACATTCATCCTAGGGTAGCTGGAAGCTTGAGAGCTGAAGAGGCCTGAACCAGCTTCACATGCCAGAACGTGTATGGAACATGGTCAGAAGGCATTGTGACGTGTGATAGTGTATGTGCCGACAACTGGATGTGGGATTTTTGGATTTGCTTCATGATATGTTTCTAAGCAAAGTTCCTGAAGATCCTTTGAAATGAAAGGAACAAGTTGCATGTACTTTCGTCATTAACAAATACTCCACCCGTCCCGGAGTAAGATTCCCACTTTCCTTTTTTTGAACGTCCAAGCTAAAGGTTCTCATTTCTATTTTAGGAAATAATTAACACTTTTAAGTGACAATTTAATCATCAAATATTAAAAATAATGCATATATAACATCAAAGTTATCATCAATGACCTCATTATATTATATATCTATCAAAACTATTTCTCAAAATATACTCGAATTACCTTATTTAATTATTGTCTAAATAATTGTGCCATTTTGCAATGAGAACCTTAAGTCGGGACTCGGGACGGAGGTAGTAGTAGTTAAGGTTTCAAACTATGGATGACATCCTGTAATTGGAACATATTAGACCTAGGCCCCTATACCACATTAAATAATGCAGCTCACTTGTATAAAACTCTTTACCACATTACTTTCTGAAGACTATTACAACTATTAAATAAAGACATGACAGACTAAACCCTAGAGTTCCAAATGTAAGAGTTAATATTTTTTTATTTTTATATGTTTGTATTATATACACTTCAATATTTCAACAAGGTAAATGACATTTTTGGCTTCTTCATTATGGAGAAATGGTTGATTTTGTCTTGTATTTGTTAGTGATGAAACCAATTTTACTCCCAACTCCCAAGTTATCCTTAAAAGATGACTTCAGTCTCTCGAAAACTTCAAATGCCATATTGTCTTTTTAATTTTAGTATATATTCTTCCAAATCAACCTTTTCACACTATTATGAAATTATATACGTGAAATATCAAATTTATTTTTCTTCCAAATTATGACAATAGATTTTTCTGAACATAATATATAAAGATGGAACAAAGGATAAAATATCATATAAACTCATAATAATATCTTACAAATTCATAATAATAGTAATAATTTCATCATTTGAAAATGATTAAGCTAAAATGATGTGATTTGTCAATACAGTTTTTCAATGACTTTATTCTTTGATTTGATTTTTGTGGGCACGGTCTTATTAAGACATAATAATTGCTTTAGAAATATAGATTCTTTAGTGATTGGATAAAATATTATTCAATTATCCTAGTATCGCTGGAAAAATAAGGGTTAAAAATGTTAATATGATATAAATTGATATTTCTTCTAATGAAAATTTAAAAATCTAAAAATCACTTTAATGACAGTTCAATAATTAAAAGTGGTGCCACTAGTAGTTAAGGGGCTATATCTACTATTTCACCATAAGCGCTGTTTTTCCTCGTCAACAATTGTCAATGCAAATAAAAAGTTGGAATGAAAAGATATACTGGACTGACTCAGCTTTGAGCACATATTGCATGCAACAATTGATTCATAACCTTTGTAGTTCTTTGCTAATGACTAGATGGTTGCCCATTATTTCTCTTTGTCTTTAAAAGCCTTCAGAATGGTATAAAAGCTCCAACACTCTGGTAAAAATGCTTTCATAAGGGCACTATTACACGTTCACTCTGTTACTTTCAGATGATGGCTTCCTAATTATTTGGAATTAGATTTTATACTGCTTGTCTTCGAAAAGATGCAAAATGCACGGTGTTGTGCAAATCATGCATTGATTTTACAGTTTGGGTTATACAACTAACCTGATGGATGCCACTTTCATGGGCAAAAGCATTAGAGCCAACAATGGCCTTATGCGGCTGCACATGGAGACCGGTATACTCTTCTACCTGAAAAAGGAAATGGCCATTAGCTAAAACCAAGATGAGAAATAAATAAAATGAATATCTAGTTTTTTAAATATTTAAATATACTACCTATGTTCTTAAATAATTGCAACATTAGAAATTTTACACTATTTATGTGCTCTACTTTGACTATATTTTATTTACTACTGCATTAAAATTTTAATTTTCTAAAAATATAATTAAATTCTACTCATTTTAAATATTCAGAATGTGATTTTTTTAATTTTTTTACAAATAGAGAATTAAATATATTAGTGGTCAATGTTGTGCATTGGCAAGCATGAAAGTGGAAATGTTGCAACTAAAAAGAACAGAGGAAGTATTATATTATATTTTTAATACCATCTTGCTAGTCATGATAATATGTTGTGTACTTATCCCCGTGTAAAGACCACCAAAAACTTGCTCGCCACGACATTTCAAAGCCATTACAACCTATAGGATTTAAAGAGCCCGACAATGTTAGAGATACATACAGAGAATCCAAGCATGGCCTAGAATAGTCAAACAGGAGGAATAAGAAGATATGGGCTAAAATCGTCATACAACTTCACCACATATTAACAAGAACAATAAGAGCACAAAACAAAAAAATATTTGACGCAATCAAAAATATTTTAGAACCCACTTTCAGCAGAAATGTTGAACAATAAAGTACTTCTAACTTTTAAGGATATGACTTTTGAAACAGAACTGAGAAATTCACAACTGAGAACTTTTTGGAAAACAAATTAAGCAGAAAATGGAAAATGAAGTGAACATGCCTTTTCTATCCTCTAATGATGGAGCTTTTCTATCCTCTAATGATGGAGTACAATAGTAGTGGTAACGGTAATACCTACCTCCTCAAATGAAGCATTTCCAGCTCGCTCGCCAATGCCATTAATGGTCACTTCTAATTGTCTAGCACCTGCACATGCTCCCTAAAAAATGATAATGTTAGAAAAACTCGCTTGTGTGGTTGTATGTGCTTTCACCAATGAAAATAAGAGGCTACATACAGCTAAAGTGTTGGCAGTTGCAAGCCCTAAATCGTTTTGACAGTGTGTTGAAATGATAACATTTTCAATTCCAGGGGTGTTGGCTTTAATATCAGCAATCAACTTTCCGAATTCAGTGGGAATAGTATAACCAACGGTATCAGGAATATTAAGGGTTGTTGCGCCAGCTTTAATAACTTCTCCAAGTATCTCATAAAGAAACTCCCTATCAGATCTGGAAGGAATGAAAGGTTACATAAACAAAAAAGCATAACTATTGAAAAGGCAACCAATGTTGGAAATGCATGAAGCTTTCAGCAAACATAACTTCAAATACTAGGGCTCAAGAGCAGAAAAAAATTTAAACTTTCTTTTGAAATCATTAATGATAAGCTAGTGATTGTTGTTTGTTGCAGAAACAGCTTGCAACTACCATTGCTCTTGACACTATTGGTCACCACTGTTTTTACATGACTACACGCCACTCTTCTTGAAATAAGCTAGGAATCACTACACATCAAATATATGTCTAGGCTCTGTGTCTCATCGGTAGCCACTGCATGTCAGCATGTTAGCCGAAGCATTAATAAACCTGCAGTATTCTATTAATATATATCATTGAATGCAAGCAAAACCATTCTCAGGTTGTATACCGTGTTCTTAATGTGTATAAGTGAGTAAAACTGTTGTAAGACTTTTCCTGTTTATAAGAATTCCTGCTCCCAAATACTATTGTCCTGGCCAAGCTTTTTCATCCAACACCTCCACTTTCTCATTCATCAAAGTTTTGAAGAGCACATAAAATAAGTAGCAGCAAATAGACATTGAATTTTTTGGGGATCATTTTAGTATAGGAACAAAAAAATAATGGTCATCTTTAGTTAGCCAGTAAGGAGACAGAAAAAAGCACTTTCAAAAATCATGTCTCTTGGAAAAGGCTCCACTGTACTTCATCACCTTTATGACCTCAAATAAAATATAATTGTGTAGTGAGTACCCAGCAGGCACAGTACAGAGTGTTAATGACTATTTGCCATGCTAATCAGAGTTGATGAAAATGCAATTGTGCCCTTACATGGAAAATAAATCAATACTATGTATATGTGTTCGTTGAAATTCAGTAACAAACAGCTATACTCAAAATATAATATTTAGGAGACTGTTGTCAAAATCAAATAAAAGTTAGTATTCTACATCAAGTTACTGAAGATTAAAGATAGAAGCATGTCACAGCACTATCTTATTCTTATTTTCCCTAACTGTTTCGTCTTAACACACTACAAAATCCATATACTGCAGATTAGGAGAAATATGGAAAACAGAGGATGCAAAACAGGTATATAGATTCGAAAACGCCAAAACTTGAAACATGGAAAGAATAAAAATTTTAGTGAACCTGCCAGCATCTTCTGGGCTAAATTCAACATCCTGGCAACCCAGACTCCTGGCATAAGCGACCATGCTAGTTGCCTTCTCTACCACTTGTTCCTTGGACATTTCGAGCTTAAACTTCATGTGGATTTCACTGGTGGCGATGAAGGTGTGGATCCTAGGCTTCTTAGCATGCTTTACGGCCTCCCAGGCCTTGTCTATGTCTCTCTTATTGCATCTGGCAAGGCCGCAGATGACGGGGGCGTGATCACCCTCCCCACAGCCGACCTCCTCTGCAATCATCCTGACGGCCTCAAGGTCAGCCTCGGAGGAAGCAGGAAATCCGGCCTCAATTATGTCGACTCCAAGTTTGGCGAGCTGCCGGGCTACGGCGAGCTTCTCCGTGGAGGTCATTGTGGCGCCAGGGGACTGTTCGCCGTCCCGGAGGGTGGTGTCAAAAATGCGAACATAATTGGGGTCGGAGATCCGGTTAGGGGTGTATTCCGGACGACGCAGAGAGGAAGAGGCCTCGCAGCGGACAGCTGCAGGTACAGGGAAGGGTCGAAGTGAGGACCGCCTTGAAGCGCCACGGAGGGAGGAAGTAAGACCCTTCGAAAAACTAACGGTAAGAGTGCGAATTGCAGGGCATTTGTGAGTGTGTCTGGGGATTGCTGGGGAAAGGTTAGGGCTGGCAAACACAGACTCCATTGTTGACGGCAAGCTGAAAGGTTGGAGTTTGGCTTACAAGTATTGGTCCTTTTTAGTATATTTATCAGTAAATAAAGCACAGAAATGGCCACATGGGGTTCAGGGTTTTGCAGAAGTATGGCTTACTTCAAAAGGGATGCCTGAGAGGAAAAGAGCACAGTTTGCCTTATACGTGTCGATCCGTCATTGCCCTTCGCTAATGCCAACTTCTCTTCTGTGTGGCCAGAAATGGATTTTAGAGCCATTTATCTGTTTGGTAGCACGAAAATCGACTGTTTTGGCTGATTCAAAATTTATGAAATTCTGGCTGGAGTGACTGCATTGGCTGATTATGTTGATTTAAGAAAAAAATATTTTATAAATATATTTTATTAATAAAATAAAGAAAAAATTATATGTAAAAATAGCTAAAATAGTCAGTAACTTCAGCCAATACAACCAAAAAAGTAACTTCAACCTTACTTTTTCTGCTTATTACACAATTCAGCGCGCGAAAGCAAAAGTTGCGTGTTTGGTGAAAAAGCTGGCTGATAAGTCTGATAAGCCAAAAAACCGGGTTGCCAAACGGGCTATAAGGTCAATTTTTTTCATTAATTAGTGATGACATAACTTTTGATTTGACATATTTAATTTGAAAACAAAGTACAGTATTTTTTAATAACCTTTTTTCATTCTCTTTACCAATTTTCATTTTTCGTTTTTCCCGAAAACTTTTTCGCTTCCCTTTTAAATCAATGACATGAATGAGAGTTTTGAGTCTAGGAGGCCGTTTGGCAGCCCTTTTAAACCAACTTTTTCACTAAACACGTAATTTTTGCTTTTGCACGCTAAATTGTGTAATAAGTGGAAAAAGTAAGGTTGAAGTTACTTTTCTGGCTGTATTGGCTGAAGTTATTGTAGATGACCATTTTAGCTATTTTACATATAATTTTTTCTTTATTTTGTTAATAAAATATATTTTATAAATAATTTTTTCTTAAATCAGCATAATCAGCCAATGCAGCCACTTCAACCAGAACTTCATAAATCTCAGCAGAATCAGTCGATTTTCGTGCTACCAAACGGGCTCTAGAAAAGACAAATATATGACTAGACTGGAGTCCAATCCGTCATTGGACTCTATGTTTGACCAAAAAGTGACATTTAAAACACAAAAAGACTCAAAAAAAAACCTTCTTGGATTTTAATCTCAACCCTAATGCACAATCTCTCTCCCTCTTATTCTTCATGCAGTCACCCACACTTATCGTCGCTACCCCTACTCATCACCATCGTCGCCCCAATCGCCGCCACCCCTACTCATCACCGCCGCCTCCGCCGATGTAGGTTTGTCATCTTCTAATCTCTTCTTCTCCTTCTCTCTTCTATCTGCCCCCATCTCCAACCTCTTGTCTGCTTCTCCGGCTTTGCTCCTAAATGGCGACGAACCTCCGTCTTTGGCGGCGACAGCGAGAGATCTCTTCGGTGACCTCCGTCTTTGCTTCTATGACATAGATAATCCTCTTTGACGGCGGCGGTGACTCAGAACCGAGAGGATAGGGTTCAAAATGATTGTTATGCAGAGATTGGGGGCTGGTTTGGGCTAGTGGTGCAAGGGGCGGGGCTTGTACATCGTTGAAGGGACTAGATGAGGATACATGGGGCTGGTGGGAGCAAGGGCGATGGGGCTGGTGGGAGCAAGGGCGATGGGACTGGTGGTGTACCGTCGGGAAAAATTATGTCACTGACGACAGTTCATGACTGACGATATGTCTCTAGCGGCAAGTCACTAGGGATAAGTCACTGAAGATGGGACACTGGCGGCAAGTTACCAGCGATGACCGACGTTGGCCGGATTTGGCCGGCAGTAGTAACTGATCGGGTGGTTACCATGACAGGAAGGTCACTGACGATTGGTCACTAACGGTGAGTCACCGGCGGTGGATGGTGGTGGACGGTGGTGGTCACTGTGCCCGCCGGTAGTAACTGACGGGTGGTCACTTTGACCAGAGTCACTTTGGCCGGACTCACTATGTGACTGCAGGGTATAATTGTGAAGTTGGTCATATTTTTTGAAATATAAAAAAGATGTCGCTTTTTTATCTTTTATCCTCATTTTTGTAATATTCACGACAAAAGGCCTTTCTCTTTCCTCTAAACAAACTACAACTACACAATTTTTACTTTTCTAATTCTACAACCAGTATGAAGTTAGCAAAGTTAAGTGAGAAGAAAGTAATATACTCCCTTAAAACTTTGTCAAGTTTGACTGACACAGGGATTAATGAAGTAAAAGCTATGTGGTAGAGGTTTGTACAGAGGAGACGAATTAACTAGAACCACAAATTATTTACTTAAAAGGGAAAGTGGCAAAGTTAGTGGGGCATCCAAAAAAGAAAAGTTGGTAAAGTTTTAAGGGACGGGGGAGATAATACTTGAAATTATAGTGTGTTACGTTTGATATTCTTATTTTTGACTTATAAATCTTTTTAGTCATTTTTTACGGAAAACATAAACTTTGATTCCATGCAATGAATTGCACTACTGGTCTACTAGGAGGATTTGTGACTACATTGGTTGAATTTGTTGAAGATGATTGTGTTTAATTAACGAGGTAGGAGGATGTAATTGAAGAAAATTAAAGTACGGGGTATAATTGACTTTACCTACAAAGTAGCGGGACCAATTTGACATTTTCCTCTAAACAGAACTACAAAGTAATATTTAAAGTAAATGTTAAGTGATATGTACTCGTAAATGAAGTTGTACAGAGTTATTAGAGTTCAGAGTGTTAGAGATTCTAATATGTTTAGTGGGTCGCACATACGAGTTGTCAGAATGATGCAATTGGATATATAGCACAAGATTGAAGTTAAAATTAATCACATAAGGTTAAAGTTAAACGAGATCTCTTTCAAGTCTCTGAATGAAAAACAATACATTTAATCACGCGTGAAAAATAGTACATTTGTCAACACAAGCCAAGCACAAACACATGAACCCAAACTAAAAACAATATGTAGTATATAACAAAGATGTTGCTATCCACGAGCATTCATAATTAAATGTATAAGAAAGAAAATTGGAAAGCCTTCGCCATAGCACACTCACGAGCACATGCAATCATCACAAACTTTGACTCGATAATATTAACAAGCCCAGATGGATCTATACTATCATCTTACCAGTATTGGTTATAAAATGAAATTTATATAGTATGAAATATGTGTTTAACATACCATATCAGAATTAGAGATGTACATGCATATACTACTTTTATCTTCTTCTTCTTTTCATATTTGACATCATCTTTATTTATATTCATATTGTATGTGTTTTTTTTATCACCCAATAGACTCAATTTTATATTTGACCACAACCCTAATTCTATATTCAAAGCATGTACTTAATCATATATTCAGTCTGTAAGCCTTAACTTGTATACAGGGTGTAGGCCATGCAAACAACGCATACACGGTACTACCATCACTCTTAGAAGTAGTTGTGGTGGGACCTTCATTCTAGATGTATGATACCCCCATGCACATATCTTATCCAAATTTTGGTGGAATTGTGATGCCTTGTGTGGACTCATGTGACACCATCGCATGAGGCTCATGAGGTTTTTCGATTAAGTGTTCACCCTTCAAGTGAGCATATTACGAGTCTATGGTGATTCATTACCCTCACACCTATCTACACTAGTAAATAATTCAACTTCGGGTCAATCTTGTAGTCAGATTGGTTTGTGTAGCTAAACAATCCGATAGCTCAAATTATATTAAAAAATTCTTAATTTTCATTCAGGAAAGTTCAACATACTATTGCTCATTATCTACATCATCCTAGAAGATCTCTAACACAATAGCATATACTCCCTCCGTCCCGGAAACAAGTTCCCGGGTTTACTTTCACACATTTCTAGGAAATAATTTTACTGAGGGGTAAATTTTACTGTTTTGACACTGTTTGGCACTGTTTTGCACTGTTTAACACTCTTTTACACTGTTTTGATGTAGATAATTTGCCAAATAAGGAAGTGGGAAGTTTATTTTGGGACATCCAAATAAGGAAAGTGAGAACTTGTTTCCGGGACCGAGGGAGTACTTCCCCGTCTCTAAATAATTGCAACACTGTCCTTTTTTGGCAGTTCCAAATCAATTGCAACACTTCCTTTTGTAGTAAACAAAAATAAATACAATATTTTAATGCCCCTAATTAATTTATGCCTACCTTTTCTATTTCTTATCTCCCCACTGATCTGCCATATGGCATTATGGCCCATATATCTCTCCTCTTAATTTCCACCCACCCAACCCTTCACTTATCTTCTTTCGTATACACCGTCTCTCTTTCTAATCTACACTCCACACCTTTACTCCTTCATCCTTCACCCTCCCATGTGATTTAAATTTCATTTTTCTTAGCTTTTCTCATGAAATGGAGATTCAAATAGATTTAAATGCAAACGAGGCGGATATGTTGCCCCACCTACTCCCACTCGACATTCGACCATTGAAGGTGTGGACTTAGTAATTTCAAATACTCATCCTCGTATTCTTACTGCAAGCTAGACAAATCATTGAATAACAATCAACACAAGACCGGATTAAAACCGTTGCTACCGTCGGAGGGGAAGGTTTACCATCAGACTTTTGGATTTTAAGAGCCCCATGTGATGATGTTTTTTAAATGCTTGTGGTCATGTTAACTTTAGCTCTACCTTTTATAACACACGAAGATTTTTTTACATATAGGTATTCATTCGGTTAACCTAATATAGTCTCTTAAAGAACGTAAAATACATCAAACTACATAACATTACGAGAAAAGAGAAGCAAAAAATGCGCACATGTACAAGTCCTTGAAGCCAATTGCACTAATTGATCAATCAGACCGACTCTGGTCTCAATTGTAGTTTGCAAAATGCACTAACATGGAGTCATGGAGCATCTTAAGCTTAACAACCATTTCAATCTTTCTCTTCAAATGCTTCTCTGAGCTACTCCAACATGAATCATTTTATTTTAAACATAACAGATTATACAACAAATGAAAGGAATAAGACATCTACGATTTCTTTTATTGACACTACACTCCCGTTCCCCCCATCTTATCTTCATTTCTTCCTATTCCATCCATCCATGTATTATATGCTCTTTCATTTAAAAAAATGAATTTAAAGTTGGTATTGTTTTTGTCTTCTCCAAAGAGTTGTAACCAAACATTTTTCATTTTA